CGGGACCTGGCTGATTGCTTCGAACTTATGAAGGAAGTTTTCACGCAGATCAGCGTGGAAGATGGCCATGATGATGTGAAGGAGGCATTGGCGTTCTTGCGCACTTGCCTGTACACCGTGCGTTTCATCCTGCTCGGCTGGGCCATCGATGACACGAAGCACATGCAGTCTGACATGCTTGTCCTACCTGCTGCCTCTCGATGGTCGGTTTTGCACCCATGCCGAGCAGTTTTCCAAAGAGAGCTTCTGTCAGTGCTGCGCTTCATTGACAAGCACCAGGCTTACTTTGTCGACCAGCCATGTGCTTGGATGCTCAGCGTACTACAGCTGCTAGAGCCGAACTTGACCCCGCAGATGTCCGAAGTGCTGGAGTTCGAGACGGGCACGGTGATTTTTTGACCACAGACATTTTTACACCCAATTTCGTTTGACCATAGACTTTTTTGAGTCGCGAGATCTGATCGCAGCAAGGAAAAGATTTCTTTCGGCTTTGCTTTTTCAACAGACGGTTTTCCGTCTAACGCTCTGCGCTCCTTGCGTGCTGATCTCTGGACGGTGATCCGTCTTTTTTTCTCCACCCCTATCCCAAGCTTGACTAGATGGTTCTCCTTTTTTTGCAGTGACATTGGCTTGGAAGGATCAGGCGACACATATCGCAACAATCTAAAAGGATGCCTATATAAGGATGCAGGAGGACCATTTGATCCATGGATGCAGAAGTCAAATAGCAGCAACGACACTAGTGTCCTCGCTTGCCATGGAAATAGTCTGAAGCTACTAACGGAACGTCAATTTCCAACCAAGCGTTGCAAACATGGCTGTTGCTGACAGCGATTCGGACAGCGAGTGGTCTTTCATAAAATACTTGGCCGATGATCTGTCGGCGGTGCCACGCGCCTCGGACATTTATGCGTGCACTCTAATATATATAGTGAGTTTTTGGTCCATGCGCGCTCTCTGACTCAGATCTGTCCTTCACCGAGGCATGCCACCGAGTCCACAGCACAGCGCTGCACTGTCTGAGGGGGAGCATGCCGTTGCCGAACCTTCCGAGGATGCGGTGGCCCAGCCTGCTCCGTCTTCGACCCCCTGCGAGAACACGAACAACTGCAAGTTGCACGATGGATCGATCAATCTTCTGCCATCGACTCGGTGGGGGTCCTTTGTGAGTGGCTTTGATGTCCAATTTATACTTAAGTTTTTTTTGCCATGAAGTTGATTTGTGCGGTGGCCCGCCCCTTTTTGGTCTTGCAATTTGAATGAGTGGGTACGTCATCTGCTTACAGGTGGCCATCGCTTCCCGAAGGTGCTTGCCTCTTACCTTGAACAGCGTTTGGAGTACGAGCAACAATTGCAGAACTATCACAAGTCTCTACTGACCGAGTGCGAGAATCCCTACGTAGACGTGGACTACTTGAAGTCGAAAATGGATGGTCGGTCTTCCTCTTCAAGCGCTATGACTTCAGAGAATGCAAACTCTCTACGCACACAATGGAAAAACTTGCCAGAAGACGTCAAGTTGCAGTACCGTGGGCGACGTGACTGGGAAAGCACCACGTACGGCATCAAGCGCACTCGCGCTGGCGTTCGCAAAGACGCGATGCACCGGTCACAATGACAGCCCGTGAGATCCGAGAAGGAAAATTACTGTGTCAGTGTCACACGGTTGTCCGTGTCCAGCTGCGTTCGCTTTCTTCTCGACTGGTTCCAACTTACACGGTGGTCCGTGTCACTTTCTTCTTCATATAGTGCTAGATGTGGCAACCTCGCAGAAATGCTATGCTCAGAGTGTGTCGGGTTACCGTTATACATCTCTGTTTTCAGAACACATTTACAGCAAAGCAACTATGTTGTTATATATTCAGCATTTCGTGCTGTTGCAGTTACATATGGGAAAATGTCGCTGAACTCTAATGCGCACGTAGATATAGACGGTCAGCGCCACTCTGTTAAGCATGCCGTGCAGTCCAACTAGTCCAGCCATGAGCAGCACTAAATCGACCATGTCCGATGAGATGCCTGCTGATGATGTGCTGCAGGATGCTCTGTGGGCCGCCAGTGCCCGTTTGCCTATGTCCTTACCTTTGGAGGAAACTAGCACAGTTCCGGATGATGCGACTCTTCGAGCTTTCCTGCGGAGCCACATCCCTGTGAAACCGTTACCGCGACCTCTTCCAGAACCGCGTGCCAAAGTGGCACCTGAGTCTTCTGTTGCCTCCAGCAACACCGTACAGGCAACAGCAGTTCCTCCTGATGGTGCTGCTCCAGAGACAAGCGAGTCAGTGCAGGTGAAACCGTTACCTCGACCTCTTCCACAACGGCGTGCCACAGTGGCACCTGAGTCTTGCGTTGCCTCCAGCAACACCGTAGAGGCAACAGCAGTTCCGTCTGATGGTGGTGCTCCAGCGACAAGTGCGTCAGTGCAGGACTGGGGCACAGCGGAGAGTGCGGATGCCTATCTGGAACGCACGCTGCCCGAGCTCACGAGCATGTTGCGTGAGGCTTTGGGTTCCCAGGCTGCTACTTCCTCTGCCATATTCAGTCGCAGAACTGGGGTGCTGCGTAGCGCTGGTGTCGTGACCACAGAGACAGAGTGGCTGCACGTTCCTGCAGACGAAGCACCTGAACCTCATCCGGCTCAACGCAAGAAGCAGAGGTGTGAAGAGCCTGGGTACGACCGTGAGGAGTGGTACGAAACAGGTTGGTTTGATTCTCGAAGAGAATGTGAAAGGGTCGTCTACGACGTGAAGCGGCAGCCATCCCAAGCAGCCATGGAGAAGCGACAAGACTGGTGGCGAAAGCGCCAAGCAGCAAAGGGAGGCAAAAAAAAAGCTGCGTGACTCCCCCTTCCCGACACTCCGTCCAGACGGTCATCCGTCTATGTTGTATTCCCGGTATATATATACACAATTGGCATCAGCAAGATGGTAGTTCCATCTATTAGTGATTTATTTTTGCGAAATATAGCAGCAAGATGGTTGTGCCATCTTGGTGTCAAGATGGTTGTGCCATCTTGGTGTCTATTAGGATGGTTGTGCCACCCATATTTTTTTTGGTCCCATGTGCAATTCTGACTGTAGTGATATCAACACGCAGACGAACCTGAAGAGACCTTGCAGCAGCTGCACCCAAGAGCGCCCCGGAACTCGCAGCACCCAGTCATGCCTTCCAATGTTGCCTGGCGTTTTTTGATCGCCTCCGCGGAGTATACGAACAGCAAACCCAAGAAGAAGGAGATGCCAAAGAAACAAGGAAGGAAAGCCAACGCCAAGAAGATAATCCAGAAGAAGCAAAAGAAAGGGGCACCTCGGACCATGAAGGTGTTCAAGAAGCCAAGCGGCAAGAACGTGCCCAAGAAGGACGTGCCGGATGATCCGCCCAAGACGCCAGAACGGCGGACCCGTCCTCAGGATGGCACCAGCCCATGGTCGAAACACTTTCACCAGTGATTCCGTGCAGCGGGAGGAAAAACACAGCGAATAACCGCGGACAACCGCTTCGGAACCATGACGGTGATCCGTCCAAACGACGGTCATCCGTCTTCCGCATGTCACAGAATTCAATCACAGAATGGGGCAGAGACGGGGCAGAGACGGGGCAGAGACGGGGCAGACACGGGGCAGACACGGGGCAGACACGGGGCAGACACGGGGCAGACCGGGGCAGACACGGGGCAGACACGGGGCAGACACGGGGCAGACCGGGGCAGACACGGGGCAGACACGGGGCAGACAGACAGGGGCAGACACGGGGCAGACACGGGGCAGACACGGGGCAGACCGGGGCAGACACGGGGCAGACACGGGGCAGACACGGGGCAGACCGGGGCAGACACGGGGCAGACACGGGGCAGACACGGTGCAGACCGGGGCAGAGCAATGCATGTTCCCCTTCTCAGTCGCTGCGAGCTGCCCAAGACATCCATCATCACCCGCTCGCAACCATGGCTGACCAGCCCCAAGCTCTTGTTGCATCAGAAGCTCCTGAGGGTTTCGTCACGTGCGACCGGTGTTCCTTGCCTGTTGCCGAGTCCGAAATGGCAGCGAAACGGAACGAGCACACCAAGCAAGTGGAGTGCAAATCTTGCCGATCGCTTTTGAGTCTTTTGAAGTACCACGTGAGCCCAACCGAGGTTTTTTCGAAGATGTCGAAGGATGAGGTGACCGGTTTTTTTCAACGAGCCCTGGAGGAGCGCAAACAGAATGGTGGCATTCTCAAGTACGAGGTTGTGCGCTCCAACTTGTTGAAGCACTTCCAGAAAGCATCACAGACGTGGCGAAGCGCAGTGCTGGCGGGACCTATCAACCATTGTCCTGGTGGTCCCAGAATGGGTATGATCCCGTCGCAGTTCAAGAGAAAGGATTCGCCATGACCTGCCCAGTCTTCGGTAGCGTCTACCGTGTGGACCTTGTCACCATCAAGCAGACCCATGCAGAAGAAGAGGCGGAGAGTCAAATGGTTGAGTTAGAGCAACGTGTGAGTCGCAAGCGCACGACCACGGAGCGCGCTGGCAGCAATGGAGCCAAGCGTGTGAAGGGCCGAGGCAAAGGCAAGGGCAAGGAGGACGCTCCGATGATCGAAGAGCCGTCCGCTCAGGCCTTAGCAGATGATGAGGTGTTGCAGACCATCGTGGACTTGGAGTGTGCGTCAGACGATGACGTGCAGATAGTCCTTCCAAAGGCAAGCCGCGGCAACGCCGACAAGCAGGCACAGAGGAAGCGTGAACAGGAGTTGAAGAAAGAACACAAGACAGTGTCTATGCTAGCTGGCAAAGCTTTGCCAGCATTGCAGCCTGTGTCAAACAGACTGGAGAACTTAGTCAAGGCCTTGGAGCCAAAGAAGGAGGAGCTGCCAGAAATGACCGTTCGTTTGATGCATGAGAACAAACTGCGCTTGGAGAAGATGGTTCACAGCTTCCAGCAGATCATGTTGAAGGTTGGGCAGAACGCTGCTGTGAACTTCACCGATGTCACCTTCACGTGCAAGAAAAATGGGGAAGCCGGGGTCACTGTCGCGATCACATCTGAGAAAGAGCTCCAGAGTGAAATTAAATCCTTGCAAGAATGCTGCAAGGCGCTGCAAATTGCCAAGAAAAACCTTGGCAAGTAGATCTTTCAAGAAGCCTGAGAGATGCTTCTATATATGTAGAAGACAAATTTTGTGACAAGACGCTGACAGCGCGCAGCGCATGGAATCCTGTCGGATGTCATCACAGGATAAAATTCCAGACCGAGCGAACTAACGAATGTGCATCAGAGGCAAAAATACTACCAAGGGGACCGGAGACGAGTAGTCCGTCTGCTTTGGTCCGAAGGATTGCCAGATATAGCTAAGCAATCTGGTTTTTGCACAATATATAATATATCTAGATTCAAGCAGAGAGAATGTGATAGTTTAGATTTCCAAGGAGTGTATCCTGCACGTGGAAAAAATGCACGTACTGCATACGGCTCTACAAGACGGTTATCCGTCGAGACAATGCACCGGTGAACACATTTGAAGCGTTCAGTTGGCGCCGCCTGTACAAGATGGTCGTCCGTCTTCTTTTTTTTGGAATGGAGAGCTCAATCCGGCGATTTTATTGCTTCGCAGCTCATGCACCATGCGGCTCGAATCGGCAGAGATAGCTGCCATGACAGTAGCTGGCTTACAAAGTCTCTCCCCCAATGCCGATCGCCTGAGGACGTTCATTGATGCCTTTCGGAACACACTACAGATTTATGAGACTGTCACTGTGAATGACGAGTACAAAGACCACGCTCTGTGCATGTCGTTTTCGAGGCAGCTGCTGCGCCGAATCATTGCTCTACTCGAGCACATGGATGACTTCGGCTCTGTGGACAAACGTGGTGTACTGATCGAACTACCGCTGCTGTCAATGCCACAGGTGGAACCCAACCCAGTGTGGAGAATCGAAAGTGGCAATCGTCAGGCGTTTGGCGAGAACATTGCCAGTGCTATGCAGTTTTTGACGGAGTTACGTGAAGATTTGCCCCTGGAGACAACATGTGAAGCTTGGAAATGGATTTCCGCATATTGCGCAGTCTTAGCTTACAACGTCAATAACGTCACGCCATCATAGAGGATCGAACCTGGAGGAAAAAGAGAGCGCATCTTTTGCGATAATTATATGAGAACAAACCGTATAGAAGTGCCCTCTTGGACGGTAATCCGTCCAGACATGAGATCCACGCACGAATCCATACACAGGCATGGGTGGAAGACGGTCATCCGTCTCAGGCCAAGGACAAATTTCATAGCTCGGTGCATGCGTCTGCAGCGGGGTCAACCACGTGACAGGAAACGTGGTATATACAATCAGGCTATGTTTTGTTTTTATATGGATGTCAAAATAGCATTAGCAAGTATCATATCCAATCAAGTAGTCAAATTGACATACACACACACCACAAAGACAAAAACAAACAAGACACACGCTGTGAGCAATGCATGGTTATAGAAAAGCATATTTTCTTGCTACACCGACTCATCGGCATGGCTGACAACAGCGACACCGAGGCCTCCGATGCCTGCGATGACCCATATCTCGATCGCAGTCCAAGCCCGCCGGGAGACGCGGCCATCCGAGTGGGTCTCCAACTCGCAGGAGTGAGGCAGCCCCAGGAACCGCCACAACTGGTTGAACGGGTTGCGGAGGCGGTGACGAATGCACTGCTGCAGCAGGCCATTGCTGCGCGACTGGCGATGGAGCCAGGCAATTCATCAGGGGGATCCCTGCACCCAGTCGCTCCAAGTCCTGCAATTTCTCCATCGGCCGGCGTTCCAACTTCGTCACCCTGGCCTCACTACGTTCCACCTACCGCAGCAGCGGCCAGTCAAGCAGCACCAGCCATGGCAACCAACGAGCAGCCAGTAGGCACATGGCCTCACGACGTTTCACCCACGACAACACCGGCAAGTCAAGCAGTTCCAGCAATGCCAAACAACGAGCAGCCAGTTGAGACGCAACATTGGCAGCAGTGGACAGAAGAGGATACAACATGGCAAACGTGGAGTTCCTGGAGGCAGTCAGCTGCACAGGCATGCAGTGGCGCTAGCAGTTCCAGTGGTAGCATGCGACCTCCGGAGCCTGAGCTACCCCCGGTTCGCACCAAGGAACGCTGTGAGCTGCCTGGCTATGACCGATTTGAATGGCAAGATGAAGACCTCGATGGCTGGTTCAGCATCGTCGCGAATATGAACGGACAGTCTTTAACGTCGTCAGGAAGCAAGGTCGCGGGGCCAAAGAGCGCAGCCAAGAGTGGTGGCGAAAACGCCAGAGAAAGCAGTGAAAAAAGTATGCGCCGCTCATCGCTGTTCAGTTTGTTCAACAGCACGCAGGTTGACAGACGCTCGAGAGAAGTAGTAGTTCCCAGCTTCATATATATATATATATATATAGAATAGATCGCATTGTAGAGTTATATGACGGTGATCCGTCGAATCGTAACATTGAAAGAGTTTTCCGTCTGGATAACGACATCGCTGTCGAACTACGACGGTCGTCCGTCTGACAGTGCAGTTAGTACCATCTTCATTTCTACAGTGCAAGAAATTAGGGAGGAGACATCCCAACAATCCGGATGGCTCCAGTGAATAGGAAAAATGCAACGCATCGAAGCAAAATGCCATATATACACGAATCAAGTGGCGCAGATATCAGATCGATATATTGATCTAATTGAAAGTCTCGAAGGTTTCGAGCAGAAATCGCAGCATGTCACGACTCGATGCTATCAAAAGTGGATGTGAAGTAGATATACACAGAGTAAGTGTCACAAAGACAAGGGGAAGCAAATCAGTACTTACATATATAGGCACGCATGATGAATACGGCTAACGCATCCGACTCGCAATGGAGACAAGCCTTGTCAATTGCTCCACTGGCCGTGATCAATCGGCTTTCGGAAATTTTCAATGACCAAGAGGGAAAAAAAAATGTCCATCCGGAGGTCAGAAAAGAAAAATAAAGGCTATCACTGAACCCTCCCGGCAATGTTTCCGAATGCTGAACGCTCAAAGTGATGACGGAACAACAATACAGTTTGCCTCTGGAGATTTCGCAAAAATCATGCATTACATTGGTGAACATGCAGAATGGCACAAAGAAGCTCTACTGCAGATTCCTGGGAACACACTCAACGTGATTCTGTACATGGACGAATGCACTGGAGGAAACGTTTTAGCAACCGCTTCGAACAAGCGCATGTATTTCTTCTATGTATGCATCCGAGAACTTGGATATCTCCATTCCTCCACTGCCTTTCTCCCATGGGCTTGCATTCCAGCCAAAGATCTCGCAGATGATAATGCTCCTGACATGGCAGCTGTAACTCGAGCCATCTTGCACGATTGGCTTGATCAGATGTTAAACGCGTGTGTCTTGCATGGTCGCCGCTTCTCCATTACTCTTCAAAGTTTCCTAGGCGATTACGATGCCATCCGGTTGGTGTTCTCAACAAAAGGAGCGGCTGGTCTGAAACCGTGTGCCCTATGCTCCAATGTTCTGAGCAAAGCACGGCCGGAGGCAGAAGCAGACGATTTCTTCGTGACCATCAGCTCTTCTGAGCCGGCTCGCTTCATTGGCTACAATATGGATGAGTTCTTCACTATCTACGATGACAGCTTACAGAACGCAGAGCACTTGACAAAGACCCGCTTGAAGGAAAGAGAGAAATTCTTTGGTTTCCTCATCAACAAGAACTGCTTGTTCGCAGATCAACGCTTGCGGCAACTTTTGAATCTGAGCCATGTGGTGATTGATTCAACTCACTGCTACTATGCCAATGGCATCGCCGCTCAGGAGATGATGCTGATGATGCAATTCATGCAAAGTAAGCACAACATCACCACAGACCTCTTGCGTCAAAGCATCCGGGAAGTCGATTGGAAGTCTCGCGATGAACACTTTAACTCTCCGAGCGGACGGTCTTTTCTGTTTCAGCCCAGTTTCTGGACAGGAGATCTGTTTAAAGGATCTGCATCTCAGGTTTGGTATTTGCTTCCTTGGTTGCACTTTCACTTGCATGAGCTTTTGACAGATCACACATGCCCTGAATGGCGATGCTTCGCAGCTCTGGTTAATACTCACTACGCTCTACGGGCAATTCGATCTGGAGGAACTAACTATAATTGGTTGGACCAAAGCCAGATCGAACATCAGAAGCTGTTTTCGGAAAGGTATGGTGAAGCCATGAGACCAAAGCATCACTTGAGGTTGCATTTGCCGCAGATCTACAAAGAGAAGGGATACAGCGATTCTTTCCCATGTGAGAAGAAGCACCAGAGCTACAAAAAATCTCTGGCCCAGACCCATGCCGGACTATATCAACAGGGTACTGGAAAGTTGAGCTTGGCACTCCTGGGAAGAATGCTGCTGCAAAACACAGAGGAATTGTGTGCAGAGCCTTGGATGAACCGCTTGCTTCCACCAGTCTACTCTGAAGAGCAGGTAGTTACAGCCTGCCCAGGTTTTCACGCTGCTGTGAGCAAAAGCTACCGACTCCAGAATCTCCTTTTGAAGCCTGGCATGCCAATCCTGTGGGATGATCAAGCCGGTGTCGTTCAGTTCTTCGCCATGCAAGAGGGCAAAGTGCACTTGATCTACGAACTGCTCGCTGCAGTGCGGCTGGCCATTCCTTGGTGCAAGCGTTTCCGCTGCACAGGGGAATGGCAAGTGATCGATGTGTCTGTCCTTGGTGGTTGCACGGTGCCGTGCTGGTGGCTGACCGAACATGGCCTTCTGACTTGCTTGCAGTGATCGATTAAACCGTGTCCAACAACGGTAATCCGTTTTTCACTCCCACCGCCAAAACGGTCATCCGTTTTTCATTGCAATTGAAAAAAAAAACGAAAATGACGGTAATCGGTTCAATTTATATTGACATGCAATATATGCATCTATGTGCCCTTATATTTAATCTTCCGAATCCAACATGTATAAACATCCTATCAAAACATCGTCTCCCACTAGATACCAAAAAAAACCTTTTCTATATAAAAATCACATCATCATAGTAACATGCCGTTTTGATGAAAAAAATCAAAACAAACCCAAAAACAGCTAAAGAAGTCGTTTTTTATCACAAAAAGTACGATGTTGAAAATTT